GAATGGAACTTTATTAAGAGGCATGGAAACAACACATCAGTAGAATCAGATTTCCCGTGTGAGGAGTGCGTATCATTCAGTGATTGTGCGCGATAAACAAGGGTTTGAATAAATGGGCAATTAAAGTTCTACTACTGATTCCTCCATCCCATAAAAGGATACAACGATAAAACATGGGGTTATAGTTATGGGCGTTCGGCGTAGCCAAGCAAAAAATGATAAATCATATTGATCAGTAAACGACCAGTTTGAGACGATTCAATACGGGGATTGAATTCAGACAGATCCATCAAATCAACCATGGGACATTTACCGGCTTCGTAGCACAAACCCAATGCCTCCGAGGCGGTAAGACCGATCGGGCTGGGGCAACTAACTCCGGGACAATCGGAGGCACAAATTGCATCCATATCGAATGAGAAAAATACCCGGCTGTCAGTTTCGATGCATTGTTCCAAGATTTGACGAAGGCGTTTAACAGCACCGGAGGAGTTGTTCCTTATACATCGCGACTGATGCGGTTCACCTAATTCGGACAGCCAAACAATCTGCCCACCGTGTTGTATAACATAGTCCACGTGAGCAGCAGCACACTGTTGACCTTGAGAAGCGAACTCGATTAGTTTGAAATCCTACAAGAATGAACAGAGCAAGTTAATAATAAAAAGATATATATACGTTTGAGGAGATGATTCGTAGAGGTAAAGAACAGTTAACGAAACATTAACGTTGAATTTAGAGTATCAGTCCTGAAAAGGACACCAAAAAATACGTATTTATGAGGAGTCCTAATCAGGATGAAACAGCTGACCAATGCTCTTTGTCGGTCATCATAAATACTTCCATAACATAACAGTTAGATACCCTGCGGAAATTTACCTGTAAAGTTGCAACTGTGTAAGAGATTTGTATTAGGTTATTCAGGTAAAGCAATGAGACAAGTCTTTGTGATCAATGGATCCGAGTAATTGTCAGTTACACTTTGTGAAATATTGTTTTAACCAATCAAATGATTGAATTTGTTAAAGTAAATCACTGCACAAATAGCAGAACACATTTTATAGATTTATCGTCTCCTAAAAAGAAGAGTTGACTTCACACAGGACTTGTATAGAATTATTCGGTTTCTACCAACTTTACGTCATCAATTTAAAATGCACATTGTCAAACAACAATTATTCCTCCTCGAGGAAAGGGGGTACACTAAACTCAAATAACGATCAAACGTTTATCCGTTCCCTTTTTCTCATGGATATATATATGCTAATCGCCCGCGTGTCATGCTGTCATGTACACACACGGAGCTGAATGAGCTCTATTTGTATGTATGGTCAGAGCATTTCCGCAGTGATATCCGATCAGCAGGTTTTGGTCTAGTGAGAAAAAAAGATTTACAGTGCAGTAGAATTAACTGTAATGCAGTTTGTATGGCAATTGTAATTTAGTTGTTGCCAGGATATCAAAATCGTGAAGACCAATTGGGTTATGGATGTGGAAGACACATATTATGAAGCGAAGAGTAAAAGTATACCTTGGTAAGAATATCGTTCTAAATAAAGGCGCATACGCAATGCGAGGAGGAATAGGATGGCAGATTGTTAGACTCCGTATGGAAATGACTGTTTGAATTCAACATTAATTGATGCGTTGAATGTAATATATATATATATATATATAGCTTCCTGGGAAATTTTGTCCATTCACTCACATACTGTTTATTATGAAATATATATCTATATATATCAGATGGAAACTAACAGAGCAATCGCAATGAAAGATATAGTCTATAAGTTATCTGTTTTTATCCAAAACTGTGCACTTATTGTTACTGTTCGGGAAATTTGTTTTGGACCTAAGTGATACTGCTTCAATTAAAACATTATTTTATTACCATCACCTGCCCAAGCCAAAGCGAGGTCCAGAAGGCCCCTCACAGGAATACAGTTGTTGAATTAGTGAAGCGGGGGGACTGAAAATAAAAGTCGAACTACAGAAGTACTTTGGTTATGCATAGATGAGGAGTTTTACCGGAGAGAACAAATGAACCCTCTGCGGCAAAGGCTAGAGGTGCGCCCTCAAAATAAAAAATGCCGAGTGATGCTGGGGACATTTCTCGTACCAAACTCCAAAGGAACTTCATGAACATGATCACGATCATGATCATGTCTGGAGCCGGCTTATCCTTTCCAAGGAGCCGGCGGCAGTAAAGTAAAGTAAAGTAAGTATTGTCCACCACTATAAAGTGTTCACTTCCTTAGAAAGTCAACGGTTATGGTTTCAAATTACCTGGACTCCAGAGATGAAGGTGTTACCTTCAAAACAGGAATTTTTAAGATTTAAGATCTCAACTGGGGGTTCCAAGGATGGCGAACTTGTGGCTGAAAACGCTAGACGAAATGGCTTGAAACCGGCATCAGTGGTGCACCCGTTGTGAGATACTCATTCACTTCTATGTATTCAACCCTCTTCCACATTTGTTCCTTCAGATGCTGTGGCACATTTAACAATTCCATTTGAGTGACTACGCATTAAA